AAAAAAAAAAAAAAAAAAAAATAGGTCATATGAGTAAGAGGGCAAGGAGCCTGTCTATTCCATGTAGACTTGAAACTTGAAATAAGAAGTTTAAAAACCAAGCCCCCTTCAGAGAATGATGAGATGTTTACAGAGAGAAACTTCAGATCAGGTATAAGACTAAGAAATGAGCTGGACTCGAGTGTGAAAAACCTCTAGTGCCAGGTTAAGGCACCATCCTGGCCATAACCATACCTCAGAAGTCTTGAGTGAGATCTCCACGCACATAGACCTCCCAACAGCTGGCAGCTGCCCTGCCAGTGCCTTCTTTGCTTCATGTGTAACCTCTGGGATGTCTTTGATTGCTAAGTTGAACTAGAAGACAAAAGGGACTTTTGCATGAAACATTCACAAGAACATTACAGAAATAGAAAGTAGTATGTTGGTTAATGCAGACATGGCGCTGGCTGATGAAGGAAGACATTTGTTCACTTCTCACTTCCCCATAAGAGCTAATCCTGCATCAAAGCCCCAATCTCAGGCTGAAAAAACTAATTACCTATTACAGAGATTAGTTAACAAGATATTCTTTGTGTCTTCTAACGACTAAGCTTTTCACCTATCACAGCACAAAGTCAAGAATCAGGACTCATATTTGATAAGGAATATTCTTTCCAAGTAAATGGATCAAATGGGATTAGATACTTTAATGTTATTTAGTAATCATATAATCCTTATTATTGCTCTTTTTTTTTTTTTTTTTGAGACAGAGCCTCAAGCTGTCGCCCTGGGTATAGTGCCATGGTATCACAGCTCACAACAACCTCTAACTCCTGGGCTTGAGCGATTCTCCTGCCTCTGCCTCCTAAGTAGCTGGGACTACAGGCACCCGCCACAATGCCCAGCTATTTTTTGGTTGCAGCTGTCATTGTTGTTTGGCGGCCCGGGCCGGATTCAAACATACCAGCTTAGTTGTATACGGCTGGCGTCTTAGCCACTTCAGCCACAGGCACCGAGCCTTTATTATTGCTCTTGAAAACTCTACATTCATGCTTTCTGACAAACACCACAATATTCCCCTTAACAAAAAATAGAAATTTTACCCAATCTGAACCAGTTGGGGATGAAGATGAACGGGTGCAAATCTTTTCACCAAGCCGAGCCTGGACAATCACTTGGACAGTCTAAAAAATGTAAACAAAAGGTGAAAAGTCTTAAATTGATTTGGCACTTGATCAGGGTCAAGTGCCTCCCAATACAAGGTTTAAAGATGCCAATTAACTATTTCAGGAAAAGGTAGAATTTTAAATGTTCAATAACAGATCAAAATAAACACTACACACACAAAAATAGTATTGTAAATATTCACGAGGATACAGTGTCAACTAATGAACAAAATTATAGTTTGAGGCTTGAAATATGTAATACTTTCATATGGCAGAAGAAAAGCAGCACATGGCGGCTATGACGTTCATAAAGAAATCCAACTGTGGGTTTAAATATTCACTGCCACAAAGTTATGTCACCACAGTAAATCTAAAACAAAAATTCCACAATTATTCATGTCACTTGGACCATATGGCAAAAGTCTTCCATATAATTTTACAACTAGAATCAACCACATGGATCATTCTACCATGGAAATGGTTGAGAGGAAGAAGTGATACAGGTGGAAATGATTTTTGGATTTGGAAAATAGGGCATTCAAAATTCACTTTTAATTCCCCATTTACAAGGAAGAGAAAAATAAATGAAATTTGGACATTGTAATGTTAGCTGAAACTTAGGGAAATATGCCCCAAATGCTGCCCAGTCCAGTTCATAGTCTTTGTTCCTACCCCAGGCAAACATACGGTGCCAATAACCTGGCATAACAGTTTGACATTTCTGCGAACAAGCCTTGGGAAAAAAAAATTCTGAACAAGTAACTGTGGAAAATTGGAAGGTACTTTTTAGTTACACCCCCAATACCACCCCCGTATCTCACAGTTTGGTTTACAACAGACAGAAGTATCCCTTAAAACCGGCAAGCTGCAAGCTGTTATGCTACATTTCCAAAGAGGGTTCTCAAAAGGGAGAAGCATGGAAGTTATTTCTAACAGTTCTAGACTCAAGAAAATGGACATATTACCTTAAGAGCAAAGAATTTAATAAACTTGTCCAGGTCCTTTCTGTCCTGGGAATTGAGATCAGTTTCCATTGCCTATAGGAATCTAAAACAGAAAAAAAAAAAAGTGATGAAAAATGTCACTTAAAAAGGGGGGGTATTACATCAAAGTATACAGAGATGGTATTGTCTACTAGCTTATAAAGTCATGTGGGAGTGGGAGGAAAAAAATTTCCTTTGACTAAAAATACCAAAGTGAAAAATATTAAGCTACTATATCTTGAGGAAAAAATAATTCCACGCAGAGCTATACCTAGAAACTAAAAGGTGGATGAGGACATTTTACCTGAATTCGAAACTTTGTTAAATATAGTTCATCTATAAAAAATGCTTTATTACCTAACACATTTAGGACTAAGTTTTTTGTTTCTTTTTTTGTAGTTTTTGGCTGGGGCTGAATTTGAACCCACCACCTCCGGTATACGGGGCCAGTGCCCTACTTCTTTGAGCCACAGGCGCTGCCCTAGGACTAAGTTTTAAAGAGGCATAACTGGGATAAATACACATAAAATGGGTCAATTTACATTACTTCAAAAGGCCACTAAATCAATTTAACTTGGGGGGGGTTTAGACCCTGCACTGAGAATCTCCCTTTTTGTTTTTTTTTGTTTTTTTTTTTT